AAAATCCTATCTCATTCTGTCTTCACATCTCTAAGAAGTAGGTAGGGGAGAGGCTTTATTTCCATTTTCTGCAGATGGGGAAATAGATTAATATGACTTAACAAGTTCAAGGTTAATCAACCTAGGAGACCTTCCTTTGAAATTTAATGCTTTTTATATATGAAACCTATTTGCTTAAGATGTTCCCCCAAGTGCTAAAAAATATTAGCCCCTTGTCTTATATCTGCCTATTATTAACACCTACCAATAAATTTAACCTTTTCAATGTTGCTAAGTTCTTGAAGTCAGACACTGAAACTTCTGAGATGAACTTTTAATAGCAGATAAGTGATTTTAATGTTCTTCTTCAAATACGAATTTATTTTTGCTGAAGTTTGAGGCAAGGAATTATGGTTATATGCCTTACCTAACTTTAAAATACTTCCTACAGGTTGTGGCTTTACTTGGCAAAATGGAACGTCTTCGAAGCTCTCCCCTTCATGCCAATATTTCTACTGCTCTTGATAGACACTTGGAGTCTATCCACATTGTACAGTCACGTAGAAAGGATGAAATTGTAAATGCTTCAAATCGGCAAAGGCAAGGAGTTCTTAGATGCCAAGATGACAGAGGTACCAATCAATATTCCTTCTTTGGTAAGATGATACTAAGTCTAGAGTGTTACTATAAGAGTACATTAATTTTATGTTCGATCAGAGGCTTAAGGAACATTTCTAAAACTTTAGCTAGCAGTAGAACTTGGAGTAATTAGACAAATTTAACTAAGATTTTAAAAACTCAGAAGAAACGCAATTCTGATAACTTTTTACATCCTTCAGAATTAAAAAGTGTTCCTTTTAGCTTTTCTTTGGAAGCCTTTTGACTTCTATTTGTGCAACTGAGACAAAAATCAGTGCCCCAGATAAAGCATAGGTCATTTTCCCTAGTAATCACAAAGAAACAAACAACAACCAAAAGAACTCCAAAAAACCCACACCCATACTTAACAACAGAATGTCTTTAGCTCAGGAAATAGCCATCCTTCTTGAATAGAGTAATATTATAATCAACTTTACTTTGGCTATAATGCCAGATGGTTTTTTTTGTTCAGTTGTTTTTTGTTTTGGTTTTTAGATTTCAGGAATTTCTTAGATGGTATCTAACATGGACTATATTTAAAATGTATTTAACTTTTTTTTTAGATGTATTTGCCCTTGCCTCAGCAATTAAAGAGATGTGCGTGGCTACTCGGAAAGCACGCACTACCCTATGGTGTGCACTGCAGATGACCTTGCCCAAAACAGCCAGTACTGCTGGCCAAGCAGATGTGGAGAAGGCTTTACAGGATATAGTAAACTGTGAAGATAAAGTCCATGAAAGTATAAATAGCAGCAATCCTATGAACCAGAGAGGTGAAACAAACAAACGTTAAGGAAATGCCAGCAAAACGTGACGAATAAAAGCTGTTAAGTAAATGCATCAAGACATTCTAAAGTAATTTTAATGAACTTTTCAAGCTTGAGAATTTCAGTACATTAATTTTCTCCCAGATTTAAAGTTAATACCTTAATGAAGTTCGACTTCTATTTTTAAAAAAAATCTAGAATACTATTTCTAATGGATCAGAATAGTTAAAAGTGAACTCTCAAAGGTAAAGTTGACTACTCTACGAATTCTAGCTAGTCAAAGATAACAGGTTAGTTTAAGTAAAATGAGTATTTCCTAACAACTAAAGTATTACTTAAACCTATTCTGCAGTGCAGGTAAACGCAAATGTGAAATTCTTCTAGATGATAAGTTTCATTTAAGTTTGCCTTAGTAAGTAATAATTCCAAATAATGAATTTAAGTGACTGTAACCCAACTAGGACTACAGTCTTGTAACCAAGACAAGTTTTGATTGTGATATAAAAGCGTTTTCCTTGCAAAACTGGATAATACCTGGGAACCAAAGGAAAACAAGGCTGTACCCAATATTCATGTAAAAATTTAATATTAAAATACTACCATATTTATAAATTTGAAATCTTAGCGCATAAATTTATGGAGGGAATTGCATCTGATTCTCCTAAATTAGTGATAAAAGTGCCAGTGTAAAAACCATGCAAGTTACTGAATATAAAACCTGTTCAAATCATTTGTATATATTCTTTAAAATTTAATTATAATATCAATTATTAAATGTTGCCAATTTTAAAGTATTTAAATTGAATCAAAACATAACATTTCCATTATCTGGATCTTTTAGAAAGACTTGCTGCACAGCAACTGAAATAATGATAGTTCTAATACCCTTGGTTTTGCTGCTTTTAAGAGGGTATCACGAGGTTCTAAAATGTATTTTTTTTAAAGTTACTCTTTAGCTAGTTTGGTTTACAATTGGTTAGTGTATATTTTGTGTAGTTGTGTTCATTAGTTTGCTTCTGTATTTTTTTGAGAGCTCCTGAAAGCTTGGCTTTTTCTGTTTCTCATCACTTAATATCTTTGTATTGAACTTGAATAATTTATTCATTAATATTAAATGTTGGTATTATGTGGCTCAGAAGACCTTGGGTTTTAACAATTCTAGCATGAGTTAAACTATAATATAATGTACTGATGAAATTTAATTGAACTACCCTTGGCTAGAAACACTGATGTTTTAAATGTCAGTGTTCTTCCTAGTTTTAGAAATCCTGGTATGCAAAAAAAGGAGTGTAATCACACCACATAAATTTTCTTTAGATGATGTGCGGAAGAAACTGATTGAGAATGCAGGAGAAACTGTAGTGAAACCATTTTGATCATTGATATGCCTTAAAAGAACTGCCCGAATGAATTACATTGAGGGTAGCCAAATAAAATATATCACCCCACCACAGTCACTGCACAGAAACTGGTTAAGTTTGACATAAGACATGTTGGATGTTATGAAAACAAATACTGTACTGAATTTAGACTGTCAGGTAAGAAATAAATTAGCATTTGTTGAAAATGTCTGATATTATTATTCAACATTTACATCCCTGATACAGCTAGCTAACCCAAAAGCTGGTTCATTCACTGTGCTCATTAGGAAACCTTGTAACTAAATTTACATTAAAATTTGGTGAGTATTGTTGCTAAGTAATTTTGAATGAGTATTTGTGTTGTATTTGGGTCTCAAGCTGAATATACTAGTTGCTAAAATGCTAGTACCTAAAACTGAAGCATTGCTTCTTGTGCTGATCCAAGAAATTTCAGGATGGAAAATCTGTATAAATTTTCAAAATAATCTAAATAAGTTAGGTATAGATTGAATGTTAAGAATATGTATACACTGAAAAACCATGTTAATAATTCTCTCCTAAATAATAGCCCCAGGCATCTAGGTGGCGCAGTAGATAGAGCACTGGCCTTGGAGTCCAAAGGACCTTAGTTCAAATCTGGCCTCAGACACTTAACACTTCCTAGCTGTGTAACCCTGGGCAAGTTACTTAACCCCAATTGCCTCACCAAAAAAAAAGAAAAAAAAATAATAGCCCCATTTCCAGTTAACCAATCCTGACCTGGTTATCTTTAAATAAAACATGTTATTTATACTGTTAGGTAATTTTAATCACTATATATTGTCTTCCTATGGCATATAATTTTTTTTTTTTTGCTTTTAGGCAATTGGGGTTAAGTGACTTTCCCAGGGTCACACAGCTAGGAAATGTCAAGTGTTTGGTCTGAGGCTGGATTTGAATTCAGGTCCTCCTGACTTCAGGGCCGGTGCTCTATCCACTGCGCCACCGAGCTGCCCCTTATGGCATATAGTTTTTCAAAAATATTTTCTATACATTTTAATTTATTCCCTATATAATTTTAAGTAAAAATTTAAACAAGCTACTTAGAGACAGCCAACAGATTCGTCAGTGAATATGCAGTGTTTCTATCATTTTTGTTCTCTTTAAAAAATCTGGCCAAACCTAAGAAAATTAAACTCATTACCAAAAGTGGTTGAAAAGCTACCTTGAGTCACGTTGTCTTTGCCAGTCATCCTCAAAGGGCCTAGGGACTCAGTGCTTCAGGGCTGTCCTGCTTGAGATGCTCTAGAATGTTACAGCAAAACCCCAAACTTTGGCTAGTCAGTATTAACTGAGGAGATATGAAAAGGAGGGATTTTAAACAGTATCACCCCCAAAATGACATCACTGAAGATCAATATTCATTAAAGACTTAAGGTGTCTGGATGACATACTTTACTTGGTGAACAAACCTATTCCCTTTTCTCTAAAAGACGGCTAAATATTTTGTCAGTTTGGACTTTAGTTGCAATATATACAATCTCAAGATCACATAATTAATGATCACAATGTTAGGTAGGTTGAAGTAAGTCATTCAGATACAATTTGTTATTTTAATAATAAAAACTGATTCCTTTCAACTTTTAAAAAATCTTAACTTTTAAACTGCATAATCAGTTTAGCAACCAAAAAGGACATCTGTAACATCTCCAATGTGAGATATATCTGAAATCCAAAGATATAAATGGCTATTTGTTATGAATAACTGAGGACTTTTGAACATGAAAGTTCTAAAGACAGTAGCTTTCATAAGAGAAGTTAGAAGTACGTATGTATTCTTCTGTACTTGAATTATTCTACAGATTCTCTCTAGTTCAAGAAGTGACTGTGTTAAAATGATATAAGATATTAGAAGACTCCAGTTCTTCTAAAAGATTTAGCCAGCATATTGGAACACTAATCAAAGCAAACAGCATTTAAGTCAAAATCCATTATACTTCTAAGGGAATAGTTTTATATATTTAGAGGAAGATGGGATCTCAGAGGTCATCTAGTCCAAATCTCTCATTTTGCAGAGGAAGAAACTGAGGCCAGAGAGCTTAAATGACTTGCTCAAAGTCACACCGGTAGTAATTTTAACAAGAAGTAACAGAGATGAGATTTTAACCAAAGTCTACTCAACTCTAAAACCTGTGATCTTTTCTGCTATATCACACTCAGAACTTCTTTCCATGGTTAAAGGTTGTTGAAAAGAAAATCAGAAGAAATCAGAAAATGGTGATTTAAATATCAGAAGTTTATTTGAAAAAAATGTGGAAAATGTGAACCATTTACATTTTTGAAATGCTATGGCTCAGGAGTGTGTGAAGGAGAGAGGAGAAAAATCTTTCCTTAGCCAAGCATCATTTTAATCATCTGCACATAAGTTAAAAGGTCTGTTACTCACATAATTAGTCATATGCAACTGATCTACCTTCAGTTTTGTTATTCAGTGAAAATGCCTTCTCTGGGTTATTTTATGATCAGTAGTTGTTTACAATCAAAGAGAAGTTCCTTGCAACTAAATTTAGCCAGTGAAGAAAGCAGAGATGGAGAACTCTTGCTAGCATCTGACCCATCTAAATGGACTTAACAATAATGCAGGCATCCGTACCTTCCCAGAACACAAATCTGGATGAGTAGCCAGTGGCTTCTTTCTCCCCAGTGTTACTTGAAGAATGAGAAGGTGCACCAGGAGAGGCTGACCTCATTGCTGGATATGCAGTATTGCTAGAGATTCCTAGTGTTGGCTTTTTCTTTAGGGAGATGACTTCTCTATTTACTCCAATCTACCCTAATTCTTTAAACTAGGAACCACCAGAAGTTTTTATTTATATTTAGATAAGTCTTAAGGTAGGAATGGTACTAAACTTTCCACTATCACACTGGAAAAAAAGTCACAGTTACAGCTATAAATGCATAGCTACATACTTAAATAGCCTTGCACTGACATGATAGTCATACTATTCTTTTTTAAAAACATCTATAACTACCTCCACTGCCCTAGGCTTAGGCTTCTGCTCCTATATATTATTAAAAAAATAAAATCTGGATTTAGCTTTCTATCTTATCAGATAGAAATAAAGAACACCACATTTTAGAACTAACTACTGTCTCAAAGCAAACTTCCACTCTACATTCTGTCAGAGAGAGTAGTATCCATTCCAATCCTACATACTCCAGGTTTAAAAGCTACAAAGCTAGTTTGCTGGCCAAGAAGAGGAAGACCAAAATTTTTAAGTGGTTAATAAAAAGATCACAGGAATTGATTTGCTGAAAATAAATCACGCCTTCTCAGATCTTTGGTACAGACATTGGCTACATCAATCCAACATTACCCACACCACAAATCCCATGGCACATTTTGCAATTAAACATTTGTGATTTTTCTTTTGGCTGTGTAAACAAGGGAGGAAATGCATTAGTAAAAACCACCAGGACTTCTCCTATTTTTCCTAAATACACACCATATGCAAGACCCAGTTCTTCCTTTGCTCAAGTCCTTGGGGAGGAAGAGAGGATCCAGACGTTACCGTTTACGCTCCCCTTTCTGTGTCCTTTTCTTTTCCTTCTCTTTTCGCTCCTGCTTGGCCAGCTTGTCTTTCTCCCTTTGTAGTTTGTCCTGTTCCTTCTTCCTCTGAGACTCATCCCGCAGTGAATCTCGCTCCAATTTTCTAGCATTCAGGACATCTTCCACATTGGTGTTTCGGAAGAGAGCTGCTGTTGAGTTAAGGGTTAGTGGCACAGGCACATTGACTATCTCGTTCTTCAAATTTTTGGTTACTTTCTCCCTCAATGAGTACTGACTGTTTTATCCGTCTCCAGATTACCTTGAGTTTCTACCCATAGCCTCCTGGAGGGTAAGGATCATTCAGCCATTCAGTTTTAATTTAGGTGCCTGGCATGGACAGGATTCAAAGTAGAATATGAACTGGTGAAAAGTCTGAATTAAAAGAGTAGTACATACAGAAGAACAGTTTTATTTCTGCATACACAGTTGGGTTTTTGTGGTCCAGACTTATACTTTCGTTAGGTGTCCCCCTGGAGAAAAGTCCCTCTACCAATGCAGATGAGCAGCTACTCATAGGTTTATGGTCTTAAATGCCTGGGGACATGGAAAGAAGATTAAAGACTTGCCTAGGTTCACAAAGCCAGCATGTGTTAGAGACAAAACCTGAACCCAGGTTTTCCTGACACAGAGCCAGCATTCTATCCACCAAGCCAAGGTTACATTAATGAAATGTTGTAGAAGTATTATATCTGGGATGTAATGCAATTTTTAAAAAAAAGCACTGATTTTGGAATGAAGAAATCTTTAGTTTGCTACCTCTGCCATTTAGCATCTGTGTGAGCTTAGGCAAGACACTTAACTCTTCTGAGCCTATTTCCTTATCTGTAAAATGAGGAAGTTAGACCAAATCAGGTGTCCTTAAGTTGGGATCCATGAAGTTTAAAAAAAAAATGGATAACTATTTCAGTGTTATTGGTTGCTAGCTATTATTTTATTTTCATTTAAAAACATTAATTCCGAGAAGGGATTCATAAGCTTTACCAGGCTGCCAAATCGAAATTCCCTTTCAGCTTTAGTAATATTTAACTAATATATTTACTTATGAACATGAAAAGCATAGTAAAGAGACATAAAATGGGGATAAACTGCAGCATATTGCCAACAACGACTTTGACATCATATAAAAGGTGTTATTGAAACTATGTCTATAAAAGGAGGTGTGAAGTGAAAATGAAGGATAACTGGTGGATAACCCATCTGGTGAAAAGCAATGTTAAACAGACCTACATGAGAACCACGATACACAAGGTAATAAGGTACCCTCCCCACCCCCCATGGAGGATTTATGGGAAGAAAATGACATATAGGATGAAGAAATTGTGATCTTCCCTAATAGAGGGAATACCCACATCAGGGAGAGCATAAGCCCACTGAAGTTAAATTCTAACATAAATAGATGTACATATTTATATATGTGTGTGTATATCTATATACGTATATATATACACACACACACATATACAAAAATATTTGTAGATAAATGTAAAATAAATATTTTAACATAAGTCCTATGTAATTAGATTTAGGATACTGTATTCAAGGTAGGTGCTGCTCAAGTATTTGAAATGCTTTTTTGGTTAAATGTTTGCTTATACCCTCAATAATTTGCTTAATTTAATACTATGCTTTTTCCAGATAGTACCAAGATAAAAGTCAGCTTAGCCCTGGTCCTAATTGTCACAAAATCTGAACTTTACTAGGATCTGAATAAGCTTTACCACAGTTAAAAATACATACCTAGGTAAGCTGCTTCAAAATTTAAGGACTTCATAACAAACTTTGGCTGTCTATACTAGCCAAGTACTCTTTACCCCTTAAACACAATTTGTTTTTGACTTGGTATCTTTCTGTTTGGTATTCCCTATTCCTCTTCCTCCTAATCTATTCCTTTCCTCATTCAAACAGTTCCAAGTCTGCCTTCTCCAGGAATCCTTCCATGATCAGATTTCATCTGACTTCTCAATGCCTTCCCCTAAACACTTACATATTTAATTTTAAATATATCCCTTTTACTTGTTAATCTATAGAAACATTCTTTGATGTCTGATGAGTGTATGCTGCCTTGTCAACTAATGTAGAAGGTCCCTAGAGGTAAGACAGAGATAATTCTTTGGTTTCTTTTATATTGCTCCCATAGCACCAGGCACGATATTTAATAAACAGGACTTTTGGAATCGCCTTGAAATTCACTCTCCCTGCTACTCCCCAATAACATGAGGTAACATGGAAGTCATTATTCTCAGGAAAGACTGAAGAAGCATTTGGGGGACAGACACCAGAGAAGGATACATTTTTCAGACCCAATGTTCATTGTCGTAGCAACTGAACCATCCTTCTCATCTGCTTCAGTAAAAGGAGTTAAGGAATGAACAGGAAATGGGTAGAATACCAAAGTATTCCATAGATTCATTTGCTTAGGGAACTTAAGTACCAAGTAGGGAGAAGGACAAGGCTAAGTTTGGATGGTAGCTTAAGGAACTGTAAGTTATCTGCTTCAACCTTATTGCTGTAATATAAGATCTTAGGAAAAGACACTCCCTACAAACCTCATTTCGTCTGGATTTGACACCCTCTTATTACTGAAGAGGTGAATAACATTCGATTTTACAAACATTAAGTGCAAGATACCATGCTATAGACGTGTCTTCTGAAGGTTTCTTTCCAATACAAGGAACAGAAATTTTTATCAGAACTCTTATTCTGCTCCTTGGAAGGAGTCTTGGGGAAAAAAGGAATTGACCTGAACAATTTCTCCCTAAGTTAGAGCCTAGTAACCAGCTATCTGATTTTTTGGTGTATGATATTCATTTCAAATATTTGCCAGACAAACTACAGGTGCGTGTTTTAAGTTGCAAGTAAACTAAAAATGAGGGAAAAAAAGCAAAGCCTAACCATGCTCTAGTCAGTTGACTGATTATGTATACAGGAAGTCTTTCCCAATCCCTTTTAATTCTAGTGCCTTCTCTCAGCTTATTTGTACATAGTTGTTTGCGTGTTGTCTCCTTCATTAGACTGTGAGCTCCTTGAGGGCTGAGACTGTCTTTTGCCTCTGTTTTATCCCCAGTGCTTAGCAGAGTGCCTGCCATATAGCAGGTGTTTAGTAAATCCTTACTGAGTGACTCGCACTTCACCCTACCAGTGTACATAACCGTCTACACACTCACCTGGGTCAAACCCAAGAGTCCAGTGGTCTCACTCTATCCATTGCAACAACAGACACTTAAGGAAGCACAATCCAAACAACGCCATTCCGGGTTTAGTTAGTGTAATTCATTAAAAGAGACTAGCTCTGCCACTAAATATATCTATAGGACTAGGAAGGATAGCACTGGGGTGAAGAAGATTGGCCCCTCTGTTTGTAAACGCATAAGGAGAGCCAAAAACTATGAATGATTCGGGGAGAGAAGGAAGTCACTTTAACTATTGGGGCTTCAGTTTTCCTATGTATGGGGAGAATAATTCTTAAATTGGAAAGATATGAGACAACATATACAAAGATGCTTTGGGAGGAAAAAAAAGTAAAAAATGCTCCCCACTTCAGGTTGTTTCCCTGTTACATTTAAAATGATTCATTTTATACAATCAACACGTTCCAAAAACGTGTGAGAAGTGAGGCATACTTAATAATAATAATACTCAAGAGCTACCTGGTAGTGTGGAAAGAACAGCAGGCTGGGAATTGGGAGACCTAGGTCTGGGTCCTAACCCTTACTAGCTATGTGATAATGGAAAGGTCATAACCTCTCAGCCTCAGTTTCCTCATTTGTAAAATGGGAATAAATCATACCTGCATTAACAGTAAAGCATTTGATAAACCCGAATTCCAAAGTTCTAGATATGTTATTTCAGGATTTACATTAGTTCTGTACACTGCCCTCTTCAATAAAGTTACTCACATTTTAGAAAGTGAAACTGAGGCACAGAGTATTTAAAGGCTTCCCAGAGTTACAATGTGGGCCAGCAGAAATGAGATTGGAAATAATGATGGAGAAATATTTAAGTTAGACCTTGAGAGCTTTAGTGATAAACAAATAACCTTCAGAGTTCCAGAAAGGATATTCCTCCTCATCTGTCACATTGGCATACTGGGCCAACAGAGCAGCTTTCCGTTGCTTCTCCTCCTCTGACACCATTTTGGGCTTCACCACAATCTGCGCCTGTTTCTCGATAAGGGTGGCAATGGCTTGCACCTCATCTGGTGTGGCGTGAGGGAGAGAGAGGTAATGACAACAAGGTTGTTGTGCATGACAGGGGTCAGCCCTGATAAACCAATCGTCCCAACAAGACCAGGGCAGTCTTATGACACCAGTACCTGTTTACCCTGTGGCTCTGGAGCTACTGGGGTTCAAATTCTGAGTTTTCTTAAACCAGAGAGGTTCAGTCTCAAAACTTGCCTACTCCAACCTCCCTCCCAAGAAGCCTAGTAAGAAAAGGGCTAACTTACCTAGGATCCCTTCATGCTTTTAGTGATGTTGGATGGGGTGGCTATTCTTGGATTATTACACTAGTTTAAAATGAAATCCATTTTCAACTAAGAACACCAAGAGAAAAAAGTGGTATGCTGTAAGAAGAAGGGCAGCACTGAAGGAAAGGATATCAGCCCCTCTGCAAATCCATAAGGAGATCCAAAAAATGATGAATGTCTTGGGGAGGGGGAGAGGACAGGACCAATGTGCTATCACTGAAGCAAAATGGGAAAAGGAAACTAATGACAGCTAAGAGACATATGAAACTGATGTGAATTTGTATTCTATTAAGGACAAGCAGCCAAAATGGAGAACTAAAAATGCTTTTTCCTAACAGCTGTATAGAGCTACTAGAGAAGCTTTCAGAGGGCAGTGCCAACTCACGCTACCTTCTTTTTTCTCTTTGGTGACAACATTCTGGGTTTCTGACCACCGCTCGACAATCTCCCTGCAGATATCAAGGAGTGAGTCTTCTTCCTAGACAGAGAAGTAGGCCAGGTAATTCCAAGAATGCCAAAAAATCTTCAGGTGGACTAAATTGAGAAATCTGGGGACAGGCCCAACACACAAGACAGGGCTGATTCCAGCCAAAACTGAAAGGGACCCACGTTTTGGAAGACAAAACATACAGAGATTTTTTTTCCCCTTCTAGGACTTCTAAACACCCCAAAACAGCAAAGGGCCCAGGACCCAGGCAGTAATCTTATATTCTCGTCATCACTATCCCTAGAGTTCATATTTGCTAGGTCAATCCCACCTACTGTATTCTGCCAGATGAGCCAGACTCAAGGTAAAAGGAATCTCCTTGTCAACAGAATCAGCCTACCTGCTCCCTTTGAGACAAACCTTGTATCTTCCAGGCACATTACCCATCAGGGACTATGGGTGTGGAACACTGCATATACTGTTGCACTTGGTGGATATATTGTTTAGTTTTGCTGAACTGCTTCCTTATCCACCTTTTCTTTCTTTTCTATTCTGTTGCAAAGGATGGCTCTCTTGTCAGAGAGAGGGGAATAACAGATTGGGAAATGAAGGTGATATAAGAGCCTTCGATATGAATTTTTAAAAAATTCATTTTAAGAGCTTGCCTTCTGGAGGACCTTATGGATCACACTAAACTCTGAATGTACTTCTCCTTGGCTCTGTCAGCTTTTTTTTTGGCTAGGCAATGGGGTTAAGTGACTTGCCCAGAGTCACATAGCTAGTAAGTGTCAAGTATCTGAAGTCGGATTTGAACTCAGGTCCTCTTGACTCCAGGGCCAGGGCTCTATCCACTGCACCACCTAGCTACCCATGTTTGTCAGCTTTTTAATCAAGATTGGACCTCCAAACTTGCTGGGCTACACCAAGGCTTCTTAAACTTTTCCCACTCGAGACCCTTTCAGCACTTCTTACACTGGAGGAAACAGAGGGCATTAGGGAGAAGAAAAAAAGGATGATATGGAGGAGAGGGAGAGAAAAGAACATGGGCCTTTGACCCAGATTCATCCCTTTAAGTTACTGCCTTGGTCCCCCTAGAACAGCTATAGGTCTCCTGCCTGACTCGTGCCCCAAGATCAGGTGATTGATTGGCCAGTGCAACAGACAAGAAGGCGAATGCGATACCCTTGATCTTTCCAGTCCTAACTAGACCTTGGTCACTGGATCCTATCTCCAAATTTGGCTAAAAAAAAAAATGACATTACTTCTAGTTATTAGACCCAAGCCTGATCTGAGGACTGATCTCATTAGGAATTTTGATTTTCCTGGAAAGGAATCTAATTTGTCAGGGGACTCTTAACAAATCATAACCCAGAGTCAGACCTGTAGGGGAAAAAAAGTCATGCACATGATCGGGAGAGTGGTGGAGTGTCAACAAGATGTCCCCTTCTGAATTAGATACTTGGAATGTATTGTATATATTATTTGGAAAGCCTTCCTCCATAAGTGTGTTTTCCTGAGAGCCAACGTGGTACATCATAAAAACACTGGACTGGGAATCAAGAGTCCTAGGTCTGAGACACCTGCCTTTGCCACTTTACCACTGTGTGACACTGGGCAAAAATAATTTCCCCTCTCCGAGTCTGTTTTCCCATTTATATGTCTGGGGCAATAATGCTTGCACTACCTACTTTACAGGCTTAATGTGAGTAGGCAGACATGAGACATTAATTAAATGGATGAATTTCCTTTCCCCAGTTAGGCTGTTAAATTTCCAAGGCCAAAAACATAATTTTCTACTTCTCCAAGATTCTTCCTCACTACAAATGGCCCTGCAGACCAACACTGCTCAATCGAAGCTAATGTCACATTGGTATATCCAATTTCCTCGAAGTTTTACTTGTGGTGAGGGAAATTAAGGGAAAATGGAACATGAGAGACAAAAAAAACCACCCAGAAAACAAATCAAGTCTTCTGTAGGTGGTGGGGACTTCAGGCATTAGATTGATTCCTGAAAAACTGACCTTTTCTACTAGGAAAAGAGAGGAAAGTGGGGTAAGTTCATGCAAGGAGTCCCAAAAGTCTTAAGTTCAGATTTAAGTTGGAGCTTTAACTGCACTGAGATTTTTGGGACACCTTGTATTTGGTTTTATCAGCAGATGAATGGCTCCAAATAAGGACAATCTATAAGTGGTGGTCATGGCAGGTGGCACTATTTGTAGCTTCCATCTAAGTTAAGTTCCACCCCCTACTTATAGAGTCTTTAGAGATTTTCCAGATGGGATAAAAAGAACCTTAATCAGCTGCCCATTCCCACCCACCCAGGATTCCTGGTAGTAGTGAGAAAATCACCTCCATCATGACCTCCCAGACTGGGTTAAGCCACACTATAACTCCTGAAGTCTCAACAAAGGATTTTAGGAGAACCACATGAAACCAACTTCTTTTGCCCAGCTTTGCTGCATGACCCAATTAATGCCACTAGTGAGTCCCTGGTAATGACAACAGGTCTGGCTATGAGACATCTAAACAGCTGCCCCTGTGTCAAGTTACTGCTGCATCCCCCCAGCTGATGAACTGTTCTTCTGTTGGCTTGCACAGGCCTCCCAAAGGAAAAATGTGATTGGTGTGGAGGAAGGAAAGATGAAGGGACTCTTCTGTATCTGGAAAACATGACTCTCTACCCTCCAAAGGGCCAGGATCCTGGTTGGACCCTAACCACTCCCTAATATAGCTATTTCCCACACCATAATTAGCTAGGCAAGGGCTTCAAGATTCCCATGTTAGGTCTGGCTAAACCTCTCCCCAACTCTGACACCAGTTAGTTCACTGACCCTGAGCCAGTCATTTAATCCGAGACTGCTTTGGCATCGACTTAATGTCACAGTATCATGCTGAAAGCCCCTTATAAATCTTAAACCACTGTAGATGTGAGCAACTCTTATGACTGCCTTACAACCAGCACAAATGTTTTGACCTGTACTTAACTCCACTTACCTACACAGCGGGGTACTCAGTGCCTCACTGCACCTCAGTCTCCAGTTTGCTAGACCCACAAACTGCTGGCATGTTTCAAATGCTCCTACCATCAGCACCCATCCATCTTCCCCAGCTGCTTCTCTCTGAAGTATAGTGATTAGAATGGGCTTAATTACAAGAGAACAGTAAATTCACAGGTGACTCAAAGGGTACAAGATATCAAGTACTACACAACTATCTGTCCAGTGACCAGCTGGGCGGCTCTCAATTTTCCTGGTTCCACAACAGTGTTCCGAGTCTCGTTCATTTGGTCTGGCCTGATATCCTCGTGGTCATTTGAAATGACCTAACGGGGACCCTGAGCATCCCCCTTTACTGCAGCCAGAGTAGTGTCTCCGGACTTCTTTCCCTCAGGTCACTGAGTGCTGCTGGCCTCAGCTCTTTCCAGCTTCCAATTTTCCCAGCTCATTCACGGGTAGGGTTATGAAAAAGTGTCAGACTCTCATCAATCAGTAAAGTGTGCCACTTACTATTGAAGAGTACTATAAGCTACAGAGAGCTCTGATGAGGAGACTGAATATAGAAAACTGTTCTGTTGCCACAGAGGGTACCCCAGCAGTGTCGGGTTATGCCCTGCCCTAGCCTGATCTAGGTAGTCTCAGCCAATATTCGATCTCACGGGCACACAGAGAAGCACTACATGTGTTAACATGTGTGTTAACACAACATTCCAATAGCAAAAACCTCCTGAAATTCACACTCTGCATCCCACATACCTTCCATCAGGGTTTTAGTAACTGAATGATCACTTTACCAGCCCTTGCTCTACACATCAGTAATTAAAGAATGTGCCCTACCAATTCTGGATTTCTTCATTTCAGATGATATCAGAGCAACAGGACTGTCACGGACAGCTATCACAGCCACACACTGTGGTCTTCCACATCCCCTTCAAGGCAGATCTAACTTTAGCCTCTTCATCATTTTCTGTTGTTGATACACTGACTTTGGGAGTTGGTTTTTTAAATAGCTAACCTAGTCAGATTATCTAGCTGGAATATAACATAAAGGGACCAGGAAAGAAATAAATCTCTTTACAAATATCTCATTTGATTCATGAAAACCCTGGGGGGTAGGTGTTATTATGATCCCCATTTTACAGATGAGGAAACTGAGGCAGAGAGCGGTTGAGAGACCTGTCCAAAGTCACACAACTAGGAAGTGTCTGAAGTAGGATTTGAATTCACGTCTGCCTGACTCCAACATTCATTTGTTAGGGTCACCCCATTACTGGAGACTCAGGTCAAAGTGCAAGAACGTCAAGAGTATTTGCAAAGGTTTGCACAACTATTTCTGTACAAGATGTTATCCAAGCCCTATAAAAACCCAGTGAGGTTTGTCCTTCACTGTTTGCCTGTTGCCCCACCCCATTAGACTAAAAGCTCCTTGGGGTCAAAAACTGTCTTTTACCTTTTTTTGGCACTGTGCCTGGCACATAGTAGGCGCTTAATAAATGTTTACTGACTCATTTTTACAAATGAGGAAACTGACGCTCAGAAAAATTAAGTGACTTGCCCAGTCATGCAATTAATTGGCATCTGGCACACAGTAGTCATTAACAAATGTTTACTGATTGACTCATTTTATAAATGAGAAAACAGGCTCAGAAAGATTAGGTGACTTATGATTAACTCCTACGGCTAATTAAATAACAGAGAGGAGATCTGAACCTGCCTCTCAGCTGAAAAGTGCTGACCTCCTCATTCATACCCAGCAGGTGCTTTGTGTGTTCTTGCCCCACCAGAAAGTGAAAATCCAAGGGATCTGAATGAATATGGGGGAGGGAACGAGGAGACGAAGCCTTTCCCAAGGTTCATCCCCAAAAAGGGATTTCCCCGAAACAATCTCAGGAGGCAGGAAGCGTGCGATGAGAATGTGCTCATTTTACAGAGGAGGAAGCTGAGGCTCAGCAAGTTCACCAGCCTAACAAGCATCAGGGCCAGCAGGAGCAATGAACCTCCCATCCAGGGCTAGCTGCACTCCGCCACCGGGGTCCCCACTCCTGGGGGCGGCTGGGAGGATGAAGCCTTCAGCAGCGTGTGTGCCGCTTCTCCCGCTTCCCGCCACCTCCCGCCTCCGGCCTGGGCTGTTCCTCGGCGCTCCCTCCGGGTCCTCCTTCCCCACCCTTGGCCAGCCGCAGGCTCCTCCCCCTCCGCCCCCCAACCCCGACCTCCTCCGGGGGCGGGCCTCGGCGGCTCCACGCGAGGGCGCCGGAGCCAGGGCAGGGCAGGGCGGGCGGATGCCCAGGTTTCTCACCAGGAAGGCGGCCAGGATGCCCTGTAGAGCATCCAGCCTCTCCTCCTCGTCGTCCTCTTGCAGGACGCCCCGGATGTAGGCGCCGTACACGGCCCAATCCACTCCGAGCGCCTCCAGCCGTCCGTCCAGCCACGGCCCGAAGCCGCCGTCACCTTCACCCGAGGCAGTGGCTCCGCTGGGCGCCGCCATCTTACGGCAGGGGTCCTCCCCGCCGCCGGGCCGCCTCCTGCATTGCCTGACGGGGATGGCCCGCCGGGCGCAGTGCGCATGCTCCCATAGGGCGCCGGTCTGAGCCAGAGGGAGCGTGGAAAGGAGCTGAAGGCGGAGCCAAAGGTTAAAGAGACCGACCCTCGGGCAGGAAAGGAGAGGTGATTGGTCGTCCGGTATCTGGCATGTACGGGACCGCCCTCTTTAGACCTACCCGGTACCACGAGGCGGGTCCATGCTTAATGGTCCCAGAGTTAGTGGAATGAATTCTAGTCTGTTGCTCTCACTTCAGTCAGACAGCATAATGATTATTAATAACAACATTAATAATAACTATCATTTATATAGTGCTTTAAGGTTTGCAAAGCGCTTCTTCAGATATCTCATTCGAACCTCATGACACACACTCCCACCCCAGGTAAAATGCTGTTATGATCCCTATTTTACAGATGAGGAAACTGGGAGAGGGAGGTTAAGTGACTTGTCCAAGGTAACACAGATAGGAAGTGTTTGAGGTCTGATTTGAATTCAGGTCTCCCCTGACTCCAGCATTCATTTGTTAACTGTGCACTGTGTGGGTAGCAGGCACTGTGCTTAGCACTGAGGATGCAAAGTCAAGTCAGCCAGCATTTATCACCTCAGCTCTGGACTAAGTGCAGTATCTTTCTGGGGAAGGGACTGGGGAAGGGACTGGAGAAGGGGAGGAGGTTGGCCTGGCTCGAATCTCCTGTAACTCTCTGCCTACTGACCTCTCTGGCTTCCTTTAAGTCCCAACTAAAATTTCACCATCTACAGAAAGTCTTCCCTAACCCCTCTCAATTCCAGTGCCTTCCCTCTGTTAATTATCTCTTATTTATCCTGTATATAGCTTGTTTTGTATATATTTGTTTGCATGTTGTCTCCCTGATTAGATTGTAAGCTCTTTGAGGGCAGGGATTGTCTTTTGTCTCTTTCTGTATTTCTAGTGCTTATTGAAGGGCTTGGCACATGGTAGGCACTTCATAAATGTTTATTCATTAACTGATCCAGGTGTGACAGGCTGAGAGGTTGAGAGGTTGTGACCCCTCAAAGACCGGAGTACAGGACGGGTCGTCTGGAATGAATTCACAGACTCAAGCATTCTTTAAGCCAAGGTGGCAAAGATTTAGTTACGCTCTTCAGCAGGCAAGGATTCTTAAAAGATCCTGCAGCCTTAGAGAGGTACAGTTAAAATTTATATAGGATAAAATACAATAAAACATGTGCCAAATATGCTAACTAGGGGATGCAGGGTGGGATTAGGGAGTGGTTAAGGAGTGGTCAGTTCTTAAAAGAACATGCACTTCTTGTACCTACTGTGCAGGCGTTTTACCCACAGCTCACTAGGAAAAGCCCACAAGGGGGGCCACGTGGAGGTGTGGTTTTTAGGCCTGCTACATCACTAAGTCAACTAGAGTTCAGGGTAACTGAGAGCTGTCCAGTCTGCTACCAATCAATGTCTTGTTTGACAAGATAGATGTAGGGAGTATACATATGTCTTAAGTCTAGAATACAGTTAATGAGGAGCCCAGGATGTAGATAATGAGGTAGGGCGGTAGGATAGTATAGTAGTGGGTAAGAATGTCTTTATGACCCAGTGTAAAGCCAGTTTAAACTAATAAATCCTTCAGGTGCCGTTTGGAACTGCATGAGGGAGAGAGATAAGGGTCTTGCTGGGGCCCACTCATGAGTAATTGCTAGGCCCAGGGTCCTTGGGCTGGGGAGAAACTGTCAGGTACAGTGTTTCTGAGGCTAGGGAGAAATTGGGGTCCAAGTACAAGCACCCAAACACAAGCACCAAAGTACCCCGTCACAGGCACTATGCCAATGCTGGGGATACAACATCAAGTCAACAGTCATTTATTAATCACTTACTGTGTGTCGGGCACTGTGCTAAGTGCTGAAATATGGTCCCTGGCCTCCAGGATCTTACATTCTAAAGGGAGATAATATGTAAATAATTATGCATACACAACATCTATGCAGAGTAGATGAAAAGTAATCCCAGACCACTAACTCTGAAGGTAATCACTTCACCAGTAGTGGGGGAGGATAGGGCAAGGATGACAAAAGGCCTCCCACAGAGGTGGGATTTGAACTGAGTCTTGAAGGAATCAAGGGAAGCCAGGAGGCAGAGGTGAGGAGAGGGAGCATTCCAGGCATAGCAGACAGCCAGAGCAAAGGCACAGACGTCTGTGGAGATGATTTGGCCTCTGGGAGGGGCAGTAAGTAGGTCACTTGTAGCTAGATCATAAAATGAGTAGAGGGAAGTAAAATATAAAAAAGACTAGGGAGATAGGAAGGGACAAAGTTGTTGTTGTATCCAGTTCTCCAAGACCCCATGGATCACCACATGGTGGGTCTTTCCATCCTCCACTATTTCTGGAAGTCTATCCAAGCTTCCATGACACCATCTATCCATGACATCCTCTGCCCCTCCCCCCCTTTCCTTTTGCCTTTGTTAACCAGATTTTTACTGACCCAGTCTCTAATCTGAGAATGACCAGGCCAGAGACAAAGTACAGTAATCAGATAGCTGTTTAATTAATTAGTTTCATTAGTAGGAACAGATTTGCACATCAGGGATGCTGATCAGAATTCCACCTTGGCAAAATGAAGACAGAGATTATATACACAAATCCCAAGTGAAACAGGAGCTTGGGGGAAGGTGGATTACAGTCATTCTCTAGGGCCAGAGTAGTTTCCTATGACCAACCCACAAATGAAAGACAATACAACAATTCTGGAGTTCTGGATCAATATTGCTCAAGCCCTGGGGAGTCACAATACTAGAGAGTTCCATGATGGGAATAGGTTTAGCAGTCTTTGATTCGCTTCACTTAAGGTATACAGGCAGTGATTGTGAGCATTGTCAAAGGTTTGATTGTTCATTTCAAGCTTCACTGTAAGTCTGACTCACAAGAAAGGAAATTCTGAAAAGTCTATTAGTATATTCATTACACATATCTTATCAATTACTATAAAAATCATAATTCCCTTCACAATTGTAATGGAATATTAATGGTTGTAAGAAATGACAAGCAGGGGCTGCTAGGTGGCACAGTGGATAGGGTCATGTACTTGGGAGTCAGGAAGACCTGCGTTCAAATCCAGCCTCAGACACTTGACACTTACTAGCTATGTGAGCCTGGGCAAGTCACTTAACCCCAACTGCCTAAAAAAACAAACAAACAAACAAAAAAAAGAACTTTGGAAATGATTGTGTGATGTGAGAGACTCTGGCACAGGACCTCTCAGCATGGCATGCCCTCATCAGAGAAAGTGCTGTGCTCTATGAACAAAACAGAATTGAAGTAGCTCAAAAGAAATGCAAGATGTGCTAATTTAGAGAATCCACCCCAAATGTTCGCATGGATTATCTGTGCCCAACCTGTGGTAGAGCATTCCAAGATCATATTGGTCTGATAAGCCATAGTCAGTCTCATTGTAACTTGACTTTAACATAGTGATGTCATTTCGGTCCCCTTTGAGAAGGAAGGACAACAAACAATCCCTATCCCTAATGAATTAATTTTATCCAATTTAGCCCAGAGCTAGATAGTCAAGATCTCTTTGGATTCTGACTCTGTCACCTAGTATGTAAACTATCACTCTCACTTTTTGTCAGTACTGGTTTAAATGACCATACTTGTTTGTGCCTTTATCCAAGTCACTGGTAAAAATAACTAATCTAATATTTTCCTTTACAAAATAATATTTTGTTTTGACATGACATCCACCAATCTCATAAAGTATATTTCTTATAACCATCAGGCTTTTTTGTTGTTTGTTTTTAGTAAAACCTATGCTCCAGTGGCCTACATGGGTAAGATTCAATCCAGACAAAGCCCTCCTCATCACTCTACTTTGGCATACATTACCCCTACTTCCTAATGACCCTGAGAAATTTCTGAATAGAGCTCATGTCTAGGTCTCTACCAATCCACCAATGTGTGTAAAAAGGTTCTATGTAAGCACTCAGAATAATAATAAATTTAAATATATAAATGTAAATAATAAATATATCTAATACAGGGCAACCTTTATTTCACCCTACAGAAAATTAAAACAAAAGGCTCATAAGAGCTCATAAACACTGCAGAAAGCAAAGGTCCCAGCATATCTAAAAACAATCCATCCAATTCTTCTCCTTCTCAGGCTAGATGTGCACCTTTCCCAGGGCTCTAAACCACCACTCCAAACTTATACTGTTACCCTCAGAAGGAAAACGAATTTAGAGTTCTGAGAGGGGCGACTCCCTGACATTTTAGCAAGTCCCACTTTCCTGAGGGTTTGAACTCTCAGGGGAAGGGAAACACACTTAAGGGTGTTAGAGTGGTAACTCCTTTCCCACTAGATCTGCCTTGTCTGAATAGTACCTCACGGTAACAGTGGAAGGAAAAGTCCAAGTCTCCCGCTTTCTTGAATCTTGGCTTAGCCTCACAGCCATTCCTCTAATTTTGGGGCCACAACAGTCCAATTGTTTCAGCCAACCACTTCTAGTCAACCAATTCATCCCTAATTTAGTGACTTTGAGTGGATAATGAGCCAAATGGGCAGGTCCGCATCTTCCAAGGCAGAGGCAAAGTCCCCAATAAAGGGGTTTTTTTCTCCTCTATAAAGTCATCAAGTCGATTAGGGAACTCCTTTGATCAAGACCCTATGTTATATAACACTCTTTATATTGACAGAAATTTAATTCTGACAATATGGTATGAGTAGACACTCATTATCCTAAGACCAGGAAGGAAGAAACACAAAACAGGCAGCCTGAAACAAGATTTATGCTTGCTCGTCTAGGACACGTGCTTTAGACACCCTGTGCTCACAGCTGCATGGAGGCTGAGGTGCTGGTCAGGGCAAATGCCCTTCCCCCAACCCAGTCCTGGAGAAATAGCTCCTACGGTCCCAACATGACTTGCAGCTGGAAAGGAAGAAAGTGAGGAAAGGCTGCCTCTGCCCCTTTATACATGTACTGAGTCATTAGCCTTTAGGGCTC